GTGCTGTAGATATTAGAGCATATTGTGTGTTTTCTAGTGTTTATTGAAATGTATTCAGCTTCATTCTTCATATGTTTGTGAAAAAGTACTTCTGCTAATTAAACACAAAGGATTTTTGCTGTAATGCATGATGAATGGAGAAAGTAGAGAAGGAGGATGGAGAGATACTTTTTTACTTGGGTAATTCCCTTGCCTCCTTCACAAAACACACTAAGACCTGTCTGATTAACATTTGCTACTGCATTCGTGTTTTCAAATTAAGAATGGATGTCAGACACATGACTTTTATAGTCCCATGTTTACTAGATAACCTTTTTTCTTCCACTACTCGTTTGGGTATTCATTATGTAAATTGGCTAAATTAATCACAGTTGGTCATTAATCTGTCTACAAGATGGTGGGAAGGAGCTTGGATATAATTCCCCTGTATGTGTGGGATATGCATCAACCCAATGGGATAAATACCCTATCTTAGCTAAATTAAGACCCGCATCGGTGTTTGGCAAATTTGAGAAATAGTCTACAAGACACTGTCAGTATATCACTGAATCTATTGTTTATTCTGAAGTCTATGCTGGAGCAGAGATGAAGCTGTGAAATAATCCTCCTTGGCACATTAGGAACTGTCCAACTTTCTTTTTCAAACTGGTTTAAATATATCATATCATATATATTAAATATATATTTTTTTATCCAGCAAGGGTACATTGTAACAGACATTGTAGATGTCTGTTTTACTTATCAAACACATTTAAAAATATGTAACTTTTATAGTACTGATAAGTTCTCTTGGGAATTTCTTGAAACTGTTCTATTCCATTAGTATTGGTATCAGTAAATAGGCTGAGGCACACCTGCCTTACTTTTCCCATCAATTTAACTTTTAATGTTGTTCCTTTAGAGTTTTATGTTGTTGTTTTTTTTTTGGAAAAAATTATTTTTAAAGGATATTGAAAATAACTAGAACCCATATTTGTCCTACAAAGAGTGCTCAGTGGTTCATTTACTTTAGATGAAGGTCAATTTTTTACTCTTCTGGCTTCAGCTGTATTGAAATTAACTATACTGTCTTAAATGATGGCCTTTCTTCCTGTGAGTTTGATAGAAGAAATATTTTATAAAAGAATATGGGATCTTTGATCCACTGTGTCAAAACTGTCAAACAAATATCAAAGAACTCTCACAGGAAGGGAATGTCTTTACATTTTTAGTCTCAATAAAACTCCAGTTTGACTTCAAAAAGCTGTTGAGGTGAATCTCTCGTACATATCAAAGATTCTTTTTATTCAGCTCACTGGTGTTTCCCTGCTATTTTCTGTCAGTACCTGTCTTTGTCTTTTGCCCTCTGTTTCCTCTCTGTTTTTGCACATTACAGACTTTTTGACACTTTGGTTCTTTTTTTTCATGCCTTTGCCTTTTTTCCACTCCCTGGTTTCTCTGTCGAGGGGCAGAGGCTTTCATGAATAAAGGGCAAAGTCTTCACCTTTAAACAAGCAAGGTTAAACACAGACCCAAAGACTCTATAAAATCCAAAATGACAGAAAAGAGGTGACAGTTGAAACTTAGATTTTAAAAATTTTCCTTTACATCTTGTTGTAATAAAATTTATTTAGGAGCTTTGACAAAATATAACTTAACTTATAAATTATAAAAGTTTCTTCTTAAAAGTTTTCCCTAACCCTGTTCCCCATTGTAAGAAAATTATATATTTTTTCCCAGTAATTAAATTTAATAGGAAATCAATTTTTTTTATTTTAACATGCTGGAGATTAAACATTCTCAAAAGATATATTATAAAAATTAATTACTTTACTTTTTTGAACTCTTGAATGGCAAAATATAAATTAATGTGTTCTGATTTGTGTGCATGCCAGTTTGACCAAATTAAAATATTTACCTATTTGATTTTTTCTTGATTTTTTTTGTCTTGCGTAAGCTTTCGAAAAGAATAAATTGAAGCATAACATCAATAAAAAGACACACATCATGATTTTGGGAACAGACACTGTAAGGTTCATAAATACTCTGGATCATCCTTTCTTCTTTATTTTCTTATGCTTACTCTACAGCGCTCCAAAAGATTTCCTTTTTGTCCCTGTTGATTTTTTGTCAGGCAAACCAGTCTTTGTTGATTTGGTAACATTTTCGTATTCACCATCCAGCTGGGTGTTAATTCTTTCCCACATGTTTATATTTAGGTTTATTATTTTTAATTTAGGTTTTGATAGGAGGAAAAAAAAGACTAATTACTGACATTGTTCCCAAAAAATCAGATTATATAGATGGTGTTTAATGGTTGTTATGGAAACCAAGGGACCCTAGGAAGCCATGGTTTCCTGCACTGCCCTAACAGGTGAGAACCTTCTCCCTCTCACACCATCCCACCAAGTGTAAATTAGAAACATTTAGATCTCATTTATCATGATTTCAGTTGCTTTTTATTGAGTTGACTGTAGATTTAATTAAGTTTAAACAAGTAACAGCTATAGTCATTTATATCTTATGATACACTGTAATAGACACATTTCTTCCTTGAGTTCCATGCAATTTTTTTTTCTATTTGGCAAAGTGTTTGGAAAAAATGAGCATAAAAAAAACCCAGAGAACTAAGGTATTGCTGCTAAATTCTTCTTTTTTTTGGTGTCTTCAGATATTTAATGGATTATACACTCATTTAGCAATTTGGTTTAATGTTTGGTGTAGGAATGTGTTTTTCTTTTAACTTAGGTTAGATTTTAAAAATATAGAACCTTTAAACTTCTGTGTGTACTTTCCTTTTTGCATGACTGTAAGAAAATGTACTTTTCGTTCTATTTTTTTCTTTTATATTTTATGTCCTTTTGACACTATATAGAGTTGAGAAGCAACAGTTTTTCATTTAAATGAACAGATCAAGAGTATCATAAGAAGGGCCTGATTGTATTGAGCAAAGCAGACTTGTCTGAATATAACCAAATTTAATACAAAAAATGGTTGAAACACTGTGTGAAACTACAGTGAAGTGAAAGTATGATTTAAACTGAAGCTACTGATTTTTTTCCCCCCCAAGAGCAGCAAATATAACCCACCATCCCGCCAGAGAAAAAAAGAAACCACTACTGAGTGGTTAAAAACATTTACCCAGATTCAAAAGGGAGCTGGATTGATCTCTTGGATGTGTTGTCTCTTAGTTACGAAAGATAGTAATGTCTATCAGTCTGACCTCTAACCTTATAGATGTATTTTCTTTTTATAAACATTTTTCCCCATTCCATTTGAGTGCAAATGGATTTTATCTGTGCATTCTCCTTAATGTTAATTTGTCGAATCCTCTGAAATAAGATTGCATAATACCACATTTATGGCTTGAGTTTGGTCTTATCGCACTCTGTCCTTTTATCCGCTCTACATAACATGCCAGGGTGTAGACAATTTTGTCTACACGCATCAAATGAAATGAACCCCTATAATGATCACAGAAATACAGTAACGTTTACTCTGACAAAAGTAATTATAAATTAAAATTGCTTTACAAACATGCTTCATCAGAATATATTTTTTTAAAACCTATGAAACAGGCTGAGACAAAAAGGATGGTGCCCCAAGAAAAGACTGAAAGGACACATCAAATCAAGGTGTGTCCACTAATTAGCATCACAGGTGTCAACAATCTTGAAGTCAGTCAGGGTAGAGTAGACTTTATTATCCTCCAGAGGGGCAATTTATTTTGCAGCTGGTAAGAACAAAAGCAGAAGAAATGCAAAGACAGTAACAAATCAACTTATATTCCTGGTACAACTACTGTTTAGTGACATGGTGTGTTGTCTCATTAGATTAGAAACAAAATCATAGACAAGCATGCTAAAGGGAAAGCTCTAAGACCATCTCCAAGTAGGTTCTTGTTCCTGTGACAACAGTTGCACATATTATTCAGATATTTATTATCATGGGGACTTTAGTCAACCTACCTGGATGTGGAAGCAAGAAGTAAATTGATGTCAAATCAAAGAGACAGATAATGCAAATGGGAAAAAAGGATCCCCTAAAAAAACTTCTAAAGCTTAAGCTCAAGGAACATCAGTGTCAGATTGCACCATCCTCGTTGTTTGAGCTAAAGTGGACTTAATGAGAGACAACCAAGGAGGAACTATGGGCGATGATGCAAAAATGTTAGTTTTAACCAGGTCACATCAGCTCTGTGTTTAAAAGGAAGCAAATCAAGAAAAGAACACTGTCCATACTGTGAATGGCTCTGTTATGTTCTGGGGCTGCTTAGCTTCATCTGGTGCAGGGTGTCTTAAATGTCTGCAGATTACAATGAAACCTTAAGACCATCAAGCGATGGTAGGGAGAATTATAGGGAGAAAGGTACTGTCTTTCTCAGACAGCTTGGTCTCAGTTGCATGTCATTGGTCTTGAAAGATGTTGAAATGTTGAAAGATCTTGAAATGACCCAAAACACAAGCTAAAACACTGGAAAACATTGGACTATTCTGAAGTAGCCTTCTATGATCCCTGACCTAAATCCTATTGATCTTTTAACGGAAGATCTGAATCTTTGGAAGGAGATGAAACATGTCATCTGGAAAAGGCACCCTTCAAACCTGAGTCAACCTAAGCAGTCTGCTCATGAGGAGTGGAACAAAATATCTGCTGAGAGGAGCCTAAGTCTCATTCACAGTTACAGGAAATGTTGGAGTCTAGTAATTGCCTCAAAAGGTTGTGCAACAAAATATTAAGTTAAGGGTACCATTATTTCTGTTCAGGCCTGTCTCATGAGTTGCAGTGTGTGTTGTGGTGTGGAGAGAACTGAGCCAGAGGGCAATGCTCTCACCTTACTGGTTTGCTCATGTTCCATCCCTCACCCATGGTCATGACATCAACCGTCATCAATCAATTAATTACTGAAAGAATGAACTGTAGGAGAGGTTAAGAGTAGACTGCTTCCCTTACTCATCAAGTGGAGTATGCGGAGGTAGCTTACATATCTGCTTTGGATGCCCCCTGTTTGCCTCCCTCAGGAGGTATTCCTGATATTTCTCACCATGGAAGGCACAGAGGACATCCCAGGACACGCTGCAGGCACTATGTCTTTCAGCTGGCCCTGGAGGGCCTTAGGCTTCCCCCAGAGGAGCTGAAGGAGGTGTCTGGGGACAGGAAAGTCTGGGAGTCTCTGCTGGGACTGCTGCATCTGGGACAAGGTCCTGATTTAGCAGAAGGTGACAGAAAATGAAAAACTGCAGTGACAATTGCAACACACAAAAAAAACATAAAATTAGTATATATATTCCACAAACATATACACTTATTATGCAACTTCATATTTATTGCATAAACTACATACTGGATATATGCTACCATTCATTTTGAGACATTGAAACAGTTCACCACATGGATGCCACAGCTATGGAGTCAATGCAACTTTGATATCAGTATTGATACAATTATCCAATATCATAAATACAATGCCATTTCATACATGCATTGGTTCTTTTACCTAGTAATTATTTGAGCAACTGATGGGATATTTAAATTTCAATTACTGATCATTTAAAAAAAAATCTAACATTTAGCATAAATCAAATGGTGAAGCACCATCAAAAGTTACATCACCTGTTCTGAAACAGCTAAACACTATAAATCATCCTTTCCGAATGGTACTGCATTTAAAGCTAAAGACATACTTCAGACCTTCCACAAAAATGCATCTTTGTTCTTGCATTTAAACCTGTTTAACGCAACTTTTGCAGTATGCTAACATGCAATACAAAACAGCAAACAGTTTGAAAGGAGCTTTACTTTTTCTCTTATCAATACTAGAGTGATCCCTTTTTTATTTTTTACCTTAATTGTATCACATGGCTATGCTGTTGTTTTGCACTACAGTAGTTTATATTTATTATCAATATGCAATTAATGGGATTTTACATTCACCATAATAAAAAAAGAAAAGTGATTGCGAAATTCATTAGGAATGAAACGTCAAACAATGAGTCTCTTGACAGTGAAAATAAGTAGGTTTATTAATATGTAGGGCGGACCCGGAGGCATGTAGACCGGTTCACACAACTCCACATAACACTTAACCCAAATCATATAGACCAATCATTGCTCTTTAATAAGAAGAAATAGAGCAACATAATTACACATTTTCCTATTTAAACAAACCAAAATTTTCCTCACCTGTAACGTGCAGGAATTTTTACATGCAAGCAGACTTAGACATGGGGATACACACAAATACACAGTAAATTTATCCTCTTATTGCTCTCTCAGGGAATGGTCTTATCCTCTTACAGCTCTCCAATGGGAAAAGTGGTAGGAATTAGAGAGTATAGGGAGGAGATGGCAGACAAAAGTGATAGCAAAGATGAGAAGTGAAGGGAAGGTAGAGCAAAAGTTAATGTATATCTTTAATTTGAAATGTTGCGTTTCTGTTTGTTTTAATCAACGGAACAGACTGTTTGCAGTGTCTGTTATTCTGCCGCTCATTTTCTGCTGGGATTAAATTGACTGTTACATCATTTTGCATGCTCAAATGCATTAATACACTGTCTCACACGCACACATATGATCATAATCCTTTTAATGGTTGCTTTCATAGAAATCCACACCATTAAAAAATATTTACTGTGTCCTGTTTACTGGAATGTTCTTTTTCGTAAAAGCCTATCAAGAAGCAAATCCTTTTTTTCAGTTAGTTCTCATTGCACCCACCATCGCATGTCGACACTTGACTTTTTTGTCTTTTCACTTTATTTCTTAACCTTTACAGATGCTTTGTCTTGTCTGCAGAATGCACTTCATCCATTATACAGTTGAAAGGCTATCTGTCAACTGCCTGCTAGCTCTTGAAGTACCTGGACAGGAAATAAATGGGTCCTTAATTTAGCTCTGCCTTGGAGTTAATTAAATGAAATGTGAACTTTTATTCATCTGAGGAAGGACCTCAAGACTCCAATAAAGGAAAGCATATGAACATTGTGGAATTGGAACAGCTGAGTTTTATATCAGATGACACATTGAAAAACTTTTGCTGTTGTGCAAGAGCACTAGAAATGTCTATTACTATTTTAACTGTATATACTTACCAATACATCTGCAATGGGTGTTTACATGGCCTCTTGAACTTAATCACTTTTTAGTTCTTTTAAACCCCAACTTCTTAAACATTGTTGAGATTTCATATGATATATTCACTTTAAGTGAAAATTTATTGAAGTGATGTACAGGTGTTTTTTTTTAATGGTGGTGTTATAATTGTTTGTTCTCAGCTGCACACAGCATGTTGCATTGCATGCAGCACTCGACATTTCAAAACAATAATAAGAGTGGGTTTGCAAACTAGGATTTAAAGGTGCAGTAGGAGATCTTTTCTGATGCATTTTTTTTTTTACCATGTGGCTTGAAGGTCTCCCCACAGTCAGCAAGCAGTGAAATAGAAGGTCTGGAAGTGAAACTAAAATAAATGGTCCCCGCTACAGTGTGAAATCAATGAGTAATGTCCACCAATAACAAAACATGGTCTGTTGTACATGATTGGTTCCTGACACGTCAATCATGGTTGTCTGCTTGTCCCTCCCCCCGTGCGCATACCCTGACACATGAATGAATCAACCCCCCAATGCTTGTGCAGGACGCCATGGTTTGAAATTAGCCACTGTTAATGCTACGTTCCCACCTAAAACAGCAAGAGCAAGAGCTGCTTCATTTTTGATGCTTGTCAAGTTTAGTTCTGACATGTTGCTGAAGCATCTTTGCTGCTCTAGGTACACAGTAGAAAAAGTGGGTCTGATGTACGTTGGGCAGAGCTATCCTATGCTTTCTTTGCCTGTAACAATGGCAGCTATATTTGCTGTGATCAGTGGGTAAAAAGTAGTTT